TAATAGTAAAGGAGAAATTGCTTGTCAAAGTTTGCGATTTTGTCAAATTTGGGCGCCATGTTGTTCTTTTCACTGCAGACTCGGATTTGTCCAGCGCCCTCATTTTTGACGTCATTGCGTGCTTCGAAGGTGTTGTTCATATAGAAAACTATGGCTTTGTATGGCGATTTAATAAGAATATCGATTATTTCTCTGCTTCTAATTCTTTAATTAACGCGAGTTTAGACCGATTTAACAGAGATATTTTACAGACGGAGATATTTTACATTACCGAGCTTCTGGCTGAGGTGAATCAAGAGTTGCCAGGTCATGTTCATGTTGGTGTACGGAAACTAGCTTGCGCAGAATTAAATAATTATATGTTGCGGTTATTGCCCTGTGTGGATCTGGCTCTTGTTGGCCTCTCGGATTCAATTTGCATGAATATCGATGCTGCGTTTGCGTTCAGCAACGATTTATCGGTTTATGCGACTTCTGTTTAGACTGTTTGCTCATGTATGCGAGCAATAAGATTAATTGGTATCGGGTATTTCACTGAAAGTCACAGATATGTACAGTAGTCGTGGCCATGGATTTATATCAATTTTAATCGAAGAGAGGTGAGAGGGAAGAGAGTCGTCACTCGTATGAATGCATGGGTATCTTTTACTGCTAACATGTCTTTAATCAGCCTGTCCTTGAGTTAGGGCTTGAAGCAGACTGCTACAAGCAGTTTCAGTCGCTGAAAACATTTTGTTATTTATTGTGCAATTACGGTAAATAGACGTCTTACTTTTAGCGATTCTTTGACTTGCGAGTTTGCGTCAAGCCATTTGCATATATGAAATGAATTTAAACATCAATAATATAAAATAATGTTACCTAGATAATTCTGAGGGCAGACTACATGCTGGGCTACTATCATATGTCGCATGACAAGCTGTTTATAGAAATGTATTTGTCTGTTGGCTGTAACCTGAAGTTCAGGTGAAGCTATTTAAATAAAGTACGATGAGATTTTTTAAAAAAGACAATACTTACAAGAGAATTGTTTTATAACAGACAGGCTAGCACAGTGTTTTAAACATTCGTTGTAGTGTTGGGTTCAATATGGGTTTTATTTATACACGACAGTGTCAAGTTACTAGCAAGGACCCACATGAAATGTTTATACGCAGTTGTTGCGATGGTTTAACAGGTTTATAGTTTACTGTTATTTTATGATAAACTGTCTTAAATGCAACATGCGTATGAATTTTTTGGTTCAGAACACTGTCACAGACTATTTCAGAAGTCTCAGAACCTAGTTAGTAACCAACAACCTCACTTTCCGCAACTGCAGTATATTATTGCTAGATGTTTCAGCCTTGCCCAACCGATTTTAAGTTTTTAACTACGATTGATATATTTTCAGCAAGTCAGAACAAGAAAATCCATTTCGCAAATTTGCACAATATTCAATAAGTATCTAGTCAAACGAGAGTCAGATGCCCAGATCCGCAAGGAGCAAGATATATGATATATTTTCTACATTAGCTACGCCAGCAACCATGACCTGCCATTGGCTGGGAACTCTTGATTCACCTCAGTCAGAAGCTCGGTAATGTAAAATATCTCCGTCTGTAAAATATCTCTGTTAAATCGGTCTAAACTCGCGTTAATTATAGAATTGGAAGCGGAGAAATAATCGATATTCTTATTAAATCGCCATACAAAGCCATAGTTTTCTATATGAACAACCACCCGTTCCTTGCGTTATCAACAATATAGTATTGTAATTATCAAAACGTTGTCAGCAATAAGTTATTGGGTTGTTAAGGAAAGTTGGTAAGTGGAGTGAGGGCTGGTACTAGCGAACAACACCTTCGAAGCACGCAATGACGTAAAAAATGAGGGCGCTGGACAAATTCGAGTCTGCAATGAAAAGAACAACATGGCGCCCAAATTCGACAAAATCGCAAACGTTGACAAGCAATTTCTCCTTTACTATTAATATTTAGACCGAAATACTTGAGGAACATTCTAATAAGGGTAAGACCTTTCATATAAACCACACTTGTATTTGGACTGGAGTTCCCCTTTAATATATCCGAGATATTTTCCTTTGGGCTGTGCGAATACGGCGTCAAAACGATCTTACGGACAAAAACGTTTTTGAAAACGCTGCAAAACGACGCCAGTCTGCACATAGCCTAAGACTCTCTACTTAGGCAATACGTTCATCAATTGCCCGAAATGCATTACATACAACCGCGGCTCAATACTGATAATGAAGTTTGACAATAAATTAACTTATATTGAGAACCAACATGCTACCCTCGTAGCTACTAGTATCACAGATGAAGTATATACCAGATATGTAACTTAATAGGACTTCGCGTCCTCAAATTTCCCTAGATGTACACGTCATGCTCACGCCATGACACTTGCTAGGAAGATGGCGTCCTGGAAAACATGAACTTTTGCATTTTATTGCGGCTTTCTTGGGTTGAAATTTATGGATTAAACAATCAAGAGCATCGTTTGTTGAATGTCTAAAGTTGTTAAAAGCAATTAAAGTTGTAGAAAAGGTGTTGAAAACATTTTTGAAGGCAATGATGTACTACCAAATGACGAATAATCACGCGAGCGACACTTGCTAGGAAGATGGCGACCATGGGACAACTTTTTTACTGATGTTACACACCTATCCTTACTTAATCTATGCTAGTATGCATAAATACATTTTAGTTTTTAATTAAGTGCCTAAATGGTTTGGTCCCAGTTTATCTAAGTGATAAGTTCTTTGTATGTTTGCATGGTGATAAAATATAATAGTTTTGTTTCTGGAAACACCACGTAAATTTATTACTGCAAAGCTTTCGATCCGTTAGCCCGGATCTTCATCAGTGCTAATAATATGTGACTTGTTTAATTCACACGCTCTTTTTATATACAAAAGTGTCGTGATCTGTTGGCTCGCGTCATTTCAAATTTAATTAAACGGCACATCAACACGTCATTTCAAACGTAGTGAAGTGTTTCCAATTGACCTTTTGCGTAATAGACTAAATTTTGATCTCAACAAAAATTTCATCACAGCTTGAAAGAGCATCACAAAATTAGTAATATTCCAAAGTTTCGTTGCGAAATGTTGTAAAATGCGGAAAATATAGCCTTGCGAAGTTTGCA